CCCCCCCAACTGCTCGCATATCCACTTTTTCGATGACGTCAGACATCTGTCTTCCCAATACAATTGTAAAAATAGTTTTATGACGATAGAACAGATTGTAAGCGAAGAACTTTTTAATGACCAGAAAACTGTTTACAAGAGAAAAAAACATGTATTGCAATAAAACAATTGAGTCGGTTTTGGCATCTTAACTTGGACATTTTGTTATTGGTGGGTTATTACCGTTGATTGCAGATTCCGCTATCCAGCCGTTGTAAACGAGCCGAATGTTGTAAGGAAAGAAAAGTAAGGTTCTGTTGTGAGAAGACCGGCTAGCCGGCATGCCTAAGCCACATGTATAGTTTCTGGACGAGGAGAAATGAATCGACATACGCAGGCTGTTTACAATAACTTTGAACATTGGTCCTTGAGATAGCCGACTTTTATGGAAGAGCTTTGAAGTGAGAGATATTTCAGGATGTTAAAGGCACTGAACACCACGTCGAGAAAATACTGCCTTTGAACACAAATTTTGGATCATGTTAGTGCTCACCGAACTTAATCTGCGTCCCATCTTGCAAGCACCGTACGCCAGCGCCTACTGCTACCAAACTTGTCCTCTAGTGCCAGAAAACATGTCGTTTCTACGAGGCATCATAGGCGACTCATTTTCAAATTTCATCGGTCGTCTAAGATGCCGCATCAGCCCCCCCTACTTGACCTCTTAAAAACAACACGCTTTTCTGACACTAGAGGACACGTGCTGGTTTAGGCTGACTAAACAGCAATCAAGTGGTCCCCTAATTACTAGGTAAAGTCCAATGAGACTCCGGTGATGGCACAGGCGATCCCGTAGTTAGGCCTAGCCTGGCAGTAGTTGCTGCGATCGTAGGGGGTGAAGCGCATGGAGGCTGGGCCTGTGGTGGTCCTGGGATCAGCTCCTGAGCTGACACATTTTTTCCGCTGCCAAGTTGCAGGCCCGCATATGACTGTCCGCCCCGCGTGACTCATCGTGCTTTAGCCAGGAAGCCTTGCAGTCCTGCGGGCTCGCACATACCCCAGACACTTGTTCGATCTGCCGTGAATGCCGCCCGTGCTGTACACCAATCAGTATGGCCCATTATCTGATTGGCTGTAGGACTTCGTCGGCTCCCGCAACCTGTGCGCAAGGGCATCGAGCACACACACACACACACACACACACACACACATCATCTGGCTTGTTTACTGTGAGCAGCTTGTTTCTGCAGAGCCTTTTGTCACCTCCTTTCCTAGAGTAAACTGTCCAACTGTCCTAACTTCTGACTTGAGAACCTTCTGTGGTCGACAATCACTTCTTTCGACAGGCCGATAGTGTGAAGCGAGGGGCTGAAGCAGTGGACTCATCATCGGAAAAGTCGATTAACGAGGACGCGGAGA